ATGAATTTTATGCTGATGTGATCACAAATTGTTTCTACTTATACAAATATATAAATTAAACAATAATCTAAAAATGTATCTGGTATTCAAGTCGAGGCAGCAAAGTTATGGGCAATCCCCCTCCCTCCACACAAAATATGATATGGAGGGAGAGTAATTCAACACTAAATCCGCGAGGATTCAGCATCCAAGTGGACAGAGAAAAAGGCATTGTCAGAAGTATTTATTTGTTATGCAGGCATATCATTTATTTTTACCTTAGTTTTTAATATAGGATTTTTTTTTCTGAGTTTGTGCAGTTTTAGTATAACACGAGGTTCAGCAAACTATTAAGTTGATTTCGTTCTAGCTGCCTTTGTTCTTTTGTTATTCTCTAGAGATAATACTTGCTCTGTCTGTAGAATATTTTATCGTAACACTGCACATTGTGCAAGAAAATAGACAACAGTAGTGCCCCTCATTGGTAGTCCAGATGATATCCAGTAGTTAAGGCCTCATCTATGTTGAATGAGAAGGTATGGTCCCGTGTGTAACCTAGGTACTATGGGTAAATCCGACGTTTCCAGTTAAGTAAGGAACACTAGATTAAACACTATTACACAGGATCACATATGAGTTAGTTGAAAGGAAAACAACTTGAGGAAAAAAGTCAATTCCCGAGTCCAGCACTAGGCGACTGGACTGTCCAGTGTCTTAATGCAAGCATGCATACTCTGTTTGTCCACTGATTTGAATAAAGATTGCTTTCATTTTCTATAACACATCATGTGCAATATTACACTTACAGTCACGCTCTGATGGGATTAACATTTTTACTCATATTAACAATAGACGAAAGTAAGACTTCCCTGACACTATCCAATATAATTGTCTTTGAATCAGTGGATTAAAGGCATAACTGGCAGGCTTGTTAATATTATATAGTAATAATATTTCTAACATAAATACATCGGACAGTTTTTTTAACATCATATTGTTATAAGCTATATTTTCATTGTTTTAATTTAAAAGTTAGCTAAAGGGCTCATAAGGTTAAGATATAATAAATTCGAATAAGATTTAGTTGGGTACAGTAGTTATAAATATTTGTAAGCAGCTATTGAGTTAGTTAGGGTTAGAGTTTGTTTGTTTGTAGTTAAG